GTGTCGACTCATGTATAGTTTGGTATGCCATGTCGGCTAGTTTTTGTTGTATAGTCTTTCATGGTAGCGTGGTAGCTCATACCTTATATATAGTTTCTTGATTGCCTGGTCATCCCATATTATATATGTTCATGCCATCAGTTTTTATTGTTGGTTGTCCATGATCCATGTCTACCATTTATATTGATCTCGTCAGCCGTAAAAGATAATAAAGAAGGTTAGATAAAATGTACGTTGGTGCTCGGCAAGTATGGTCGGGTGCTAGTCATGGGCCTCCAGTTTGGGTTGTGACACCGGGCCACATCAAAATCACTATAGGACATGAAACAGTGGATTGCGGACGCCCGTGGTAGATTTACATTTGTCGTGTTGCTGGATGGCAACAATCGACTGTTGACAATGGTGAGCCAACACTTAGCCTCCCAATTCAGACAGTAGGAGTTGAGAGTAATCCTGTGCTTGATCCATAGGTGTTCTCCATCCGGCACACCGATAGTATCAAGAAGAGTTCCCCACAAGGCCCGTGTACTGCTAAAAATACAATAAGGATCAAATTCACCTCGAAACACTGGCAGCCTGTATACCCTGCGAATAGTGTCAAGGGATGCGTTTACCGGGGTATTGCGCACCGTCACAACCCCATTCTCATGTTCTGGCAAGTTCGCATAGAACTCCCTTACTAGTTGAACATTCGCCTCCTCTGGTACCTTGAAGAAGATGTCCAACTAACACCGCCTCAGCTCATTAAACATATTGGGGCATTCCACCTCCAAAGTCGTGCAATCAATGTGCACCTCATGTTGTAACTTCTTAGCTGCTTTCTTGTTGTACCTATCCTCCGCTGCTCTAGATACAAACCGAGTGCTATCGAACTGAGGTGCACTGGCTTGGCTCGTAGCTCGTGAGGAGCCTCCTGGTCCACTAGTGGAGGGTCCGGTGTTTCATCTCTTCCTGGAAGAACTCATTGTACCTTTCATACAACAGAACGCCTATTAGTGAGTGCGCAAAATATGTGACTATGGATGGTTACTCAGACTCCACCATAACCATGTCACAATAGCTCCTTATATCTCCATTGGGGCAGTTTCCCAAACACCTTGTGAGCAGGGCACTATCCAAACACATATAGCCCTCATGGGTACATCAAAGCTCCTCCCCAATCAAGTATACTACCACACCAACACACTCCACACTTGTGTCATTCAATCACCCACCAACAAACACCGTTCCAAACATTAATTTCACAGCCCCTTCACCAAACATTCTCATAAATGAAATTAAAATAGAAAAAACAAGGAGAAGAAACTACAAAAAAATCTACTACAATTACAACACCATATCAACATAAAACTACATAAGCTACAACACAATACAACACAAAACCAGAGAAAAGAGAAAGGAGAGGTAAGTACATACCTTAGTTGAAGAATGG